CTCTATAATAGTACTGTTGTAAAATGGCAGCACTTCAGTGAGAGAACAATGTCATACAAAATCAAATGAGCTATATGGTGGACTTGGGCATTATGTTAATATTAAGTAGTAAATTGGCCCATGATCAGTTGGCCTTTTAATCCCACGGGTGCTCTAGGCTCTTCAACATCAAAGTCCAGTTCCCATTATTGTTGTTATAGAATATTCAGACTCATAGGGTTCCTGCCTTGTCAGTTAGAAAATGCTAAAGGAACAGCATGATCTTCATGCTGAGCTCAGTATGAGTAAATCACTGATACTCAACCGTTTCAGCAAACTAATTATGCTTTCATCTTTCTAGTCTTAAAAAGAACAGTTTCTCAAAAAAAGAGCAATTTCTCATACAACTGTGAAAAATCTAAAAATCAGTTTTTCAAGGTTTGAAACTCAAGTTCAGCCAATGCTATCAACCTTGAAAATATGTGAAATGATGAATGTGGCATTTCCACAGTTTGCCTGGGAAGTAGGTAACAATAGGATGCCCCATCTGAAAAGGGCAATGCTAATTTGGTGGTTTTGGGAAATGGCACATTGGGTGCTAAATACCAAGTATGCATATGGATCCTGATGTGTGGAAAAGTTTCCTGGATATGGATATGGATATGGATATGGATATGGATATGGATCCTGATGTGTGGAAAAGTTCCTTAGGCTTTTGGTACTATGAAGAATTGGGGATACCTCTGCTTCCTTAATTTCCTACTAAAGAAACTTCAGTTTTCCTATGAGAGGGAACCAAGTTAGCAGTAATTTTGGTAACCATTTTATTGGGATCACAGGAACTCCTTCTGGGGACATTAGTCCTTAGAAGGTAGTTTCTGGTTACTTTGCTATACTTACCTCAGTGGGGTCATTTACTTTGAGTTTCACCAAAGAAAAAGCCAGTGTAATCAATAAACTTTAATTAAATTCAGCTGTCATATTTGGATACCTGGCCTTGGAGGAGGAGGTATTTCAGGCACAGATAGAAGCCTAAGGAAAAAATGTGGAGATATGAAAGAACATTCTGTATTTGGGCAATGGCAAATTGGGTGCCAGAATCTTGGAGGGAGGCCAGAAAAGTCACTTCCAACCCAAAGGCCTTCTCAGCTGTGTGCACTTTTGCTATTCTTTTTTCTTCACAGTTTCTTCTTACAGGTTCTTTGCAGTTGGTAACTGAGTTACTGTGGTTAACTCTGCCTTTGAGTGACAGCCTTGGCATGGCTGGAGCCATATAAATCATGTCCACACCTGCCTTCCTGTTCCTATATCTTTCTTTTCTTTTTTTTAATTTAAAGATTTATTTTTATTTATTTTGAGGAGGGGGAGGGGCAGAGGGAGAGGGAGAAGGAGTCTTAAGCAGACTCCATGCTGAGTGTGAAGCCTGACATGGGGCTCGATCTCATGGCCCTGAAATCATGACCTGAGCTGAAACCAAGAGTCAGATGCTTAACCAACTGCACCACCCAGGTGCCCCTATATCTTTCTTTTGCTCTTTTATCTGAGACTTTCTTGACTGAATCCCACTTTTGTTCCTCAGATGGTTTGATTTCTTCTGGCTTGGCTCCTAATGCCCTTCTGTTTGTTCACTAATTTTTGATTGTTTATATTTACACCTATGGAATCTTTATCCCTGGCTTTCAGGCTTGTCTGGACCAGACTCTGTCCCCACACTACCCGTACCTCTCACAGTGTTCTAGCCATATTCTTTCAGGCAGAACTAACTCCTCACATCGCTTGCTATTGACTTCAACTCCCTGTATCCTGTCTTGTAGTATAATTTCTCCCTTTCCCTTTCCCTTTCTTTTTTTCAAGATTACTTTGGCTACTTGATGTCTTATGTGATTCCATACAAATCTTAGGGTTGGTTTTCTATTTCTGTGAACATGCCTTTGGAATTTTGATAGAATTGCATTGAATTTATAGTTTGGGGGAGTATGGACACATTAACAATATTAATTCTTATAGTCTTATTAACCTCATGCTTTGTGCTAGTATGTGTGGTTTGGCCCAACACACTAAATCATCCTGGTAGCCATCTATAATGATACCTAGATCCTCTAAAAAGCCCTCTCTCTGCCTCCCAGTTTCAGCCAGTAATGCTCAAAATGTCATTTTTATGCTGCCTTATGAACAGTTGCCTCATTGCATTGCAAAAATTTGCATACACAGCCACTACGGGGCTCTTGAGGCAGGAGTCACACACATCCAATCCATTTTTGGCCATCAATAACCATTAATTGTTTGAGTTGTCATATATGCTGAATTTTTATTATCTGAGAAGGCTCCTGCATGTCCCCCATGATCAGGTTTTGGTGCTCAGGTAATATGAATCATTAGTATAAGGTACCTTTGATAGAGTGATTCTGTTGGAAATCCTAGACACAGTATTCTGTTAGCCATATGTAATTGGTATCTAACTTGTTGCTTATTTTAAACATCTTATTTCTGCTCTTCCTTTATTATTTTGAAAATTAAAGAGTGAATCTCTATGTAAAATTAAAATATATGTCTTAGTTTAGGTTACATGAATGCAATAAGAATTTTCTGTCTATATACTATGATCATATTTAAGTCTTCAAATGACAAATGTGACAAGGATTCTCTAGAAGAGTGGGCTTCAAACTTTGTTGATTGCATACACGTCTGTAAAAAAAATTAAGCATATATCCCAATACATATACATTAATTTCTTTAATATTTTAATTTAGTTTAATGGTACTTATATAGATATTACTATGTTCAAGGCACTGAACATAAATTTTAACTGTTTTTCTATAAATTTTAACTAATTTTTCTTCGTAACAGCCCTATGAAATAGGTACTATTATCATCAGCACTTTCTATAAAAAAACTGAGGCATAGGGAGATTAAATAAGTTGTCCATGTTAGTAGTAAGTAGCAGAATTTGGCAGTCTGCTTCCATGTTCATGCTGTTAATCCACTAATCTGCCTTTATAATAAATATAAAATAACTGAAGAAAATAATGCTAACATATTTCATACATTACAAAAACCACATAAAAATTTAAAATAAGACAAAGATGAACAAAACAGTATTTTAAAATGTCAGGTTAATTGTAAGCGTTGCATGTTATCAATGACTAGTTATCACAATGAAGAATATATGCATGAGAATATCCATAATTGAATAATTGTGAATATAAAAGAATAATTAAATTGTTGTTTTGATAATTTTGAATTTTTGACCAATTCTTTGATCTAATTAGATCATCTTTGTTTTTATCTCATAATATGAGCAAAGAGGAACGTATACCAGGAATAGAACTTTCCATGGTGCCATTTTGTTGTTCACTTACGGGCTTGCATCATTAGCATTATCTTCAGTATGTGATGTCTTTGTCAGAATATTTTATTAAAGTAATTTGTTGTTCTTGTGAAGGTTAGTTTAGATAAACTTGACAATATAATCTGCAAATCCTCCTGAGTGGTCTCTTGTAAACTACTATAAGGTGTAACCTACTGAAATCAGAGAATGAATGCATGAGGACACCACTATTTATTCTTCTGTGCCTGGATTATTTACTCCTTCTTCAGGATGTGTTGCTCACTGTATGAGATGTGGGGTCTCTGATATACTTATGGAGCAAGTTACCAGTGATAATTTGTATATTAAATATAGACCCTTACCTTATATTTTATTTTTGGAAAAAAATAAATAAAAATGGAAATTCTAGTATTTTTCTTTACATATCTCTGAAGGATTGTCTTGTGCTTCTCCTGGGGGTAGGCACACCTCCTCTTAATTAGAAACCCTTGAAATGCAACTGAAGAAGTCACCTGAGTGTAAGGACTCAAATATGAAGTCCCCTGAACGTAAGTATTCAAATATGAATAGAATACAAATATGAATACTATTACTGCTCAGAGAGGCAAAAGAGGGCTTGTAAACATGAAATGCAATTGAGTTGCCTTAGAAATTTGGCCTACAAATAAAAATAGGTATTGTTAATCTACTAAAAAAGTGACAAAAATTTAGGTTGCACTAGCTCTTTCTGTTAAAATATTTCTATATAAATTTTCTTGTTAGCTAATTGCTTTACACTTATGTTTAATCCTTAATTTATATCTTTTGGTTGAGGCCTATAGGCACATTGTGGAGTTAACAAAATGGGACACACCCCATTGTTTCTATCTTTACACTGCTGAGCTGGGATCTGCTACTTGATTCTATGCATTAATGAGCCATGAAATATTATTCTTCTGCTAATTTAACTCAGGGAGGCCATTGGGGATTTGTTTGAACAATTGAGAGGGGAAAGGAGTGCTTGGCTTACAAATTAGCTCTCTGAAATACTCAGATTTTTCTTTGGGAAAAAAAATAACCCAATAGTCAAGAAAGTTGTGTGACAAGAAAACTTCTTCACAGTTCAGAAAAATAATTTTCAGATAACTATAATATTATTTAGCCACTATTTAGAAACTTAAAAAAGACAACATGTTTTATAAAATAAAATGCTAATTTGTCTGTAAATTGCATAGTCTTTATAGTTTTCCCTTTCCAAGCAATCTGAGCCAAGAAATCTCACTTTAATAGTTTGCTGTTTTTCATGGACCTAAGACTTTATTTTACCTTTTGTAGTTCAGGAAATTTAGTTCAAAGCAATTAATAGGCCTGTCATTATCCAAATGTAAACATTTTCATATATGTTTGGATAAAACAATAATGAAAATATTAAATTTAAAAATAAGTAGATCAATAATTTTAAGAAAAACTCTCCCTTGAATCTGAAGTGTTATTATATCCTCTATAATGCAGATATTTTTGGTAGATGTTGATCAATGCAGCATGAGTGGCATAACTGAATAAATGAAATTCACAAATTATACTGTTTTTGTAAAATGTATTCATCCTCTGCTTTCACTAAATTAAAAATTTTCATTTCCAAGCAAAGAGCAAGTGGCACAAATATTTTTTGAACATATAGTTTAAGACTGTTTCATTCATCCTCACATATTTTTTTACACAGAAATTACTTTTATTATGTTAGAATATTCCTTAATGAGTTGGCAATTATTCATGTGAAGGAGAGTTCAGAAAACAGATTTATGACTGTATTAGCCTTGTCCTTGATTAGAGATTTATGAATTATACAAAAAATACTATTGCTAGAGTAGGTTACTCTAGAAGTAGTAGTAGAGAAGGTCTAAGAGGCTGAGAATTTAGAAAATCTTCTCCCTGCTTGTCTGGCTGTTTCAGTTGGACCAAAAGACTTAGGTACAAGGATGAACATGTTTTCTCTGTTGAATTTAAAGCTTTACAACAGTTCAAATGCTCTTCCCTGCATGCATCAGTTCAAAGGCTTCATTAATTTTGTCAAAAGACGATTATGAGTCACAAATTCATCAACTTTTATCTTTTTAGACACCAACTTTGGGACACTTTCCACACTTTTCCATCCTCCAAAAGCAGTGCCTTTCCACGTGTGGCCTGTTACCAGCTGAAATGGGTGAGTGGCGATTTCTAGCAGCTACTCCAACTACGACGCTGGCACCCCAGCCTTTGTGGCAGGCCTGCAACGTTGCTCTCATGACTTCCATGTTACCAATACATTCGAAGGAATAGTCCACTCCCCGCTCAGTCATTTCAATGAGCACTTCCTGGATGGGTGTACGGAAATCCTGAGGGTTAATACATTCAGAGACTCCAAACTCCTTGGCCCTTGCAAATTTATCTTTATTGATGTCCACACCAATGATCCAGGATGCATCAGCCACCTTACAGACCATGATAGCCACCAATCCAACTCCTCCTAGGCCAAAGATGGCACAAGTAGAGCCAGGCTCCACCTTGGCAGTGTTCACAGCAGCACCATAACCAGTTGAAATGCCACAACCCAGAAGGCAGACTTTATCCAAAGGTGCTAAAGGATCAATTTTAGCAACAGAGATACCAGCCACAACTGTATATTCAGAAAACGTGATAAATGGTTTTCCACCCCCTCATTTTCAATCTGGTGGTGTCTTTGGGTCTAAAATGAGTCTCTTGCAGACAACATATCAATGGGTCTTGCATTTTTATCCAATCTGATACCCTGTGTCTTTTGATTGGAGCATTTAGCCCATTTACATTCAGAATAACTATTGAAAGATATGAATTTAGTGTCATTGTATTACCTGTAAAGTCACTGTTTCTGTATATTGTCTCTGTTCCTTTCTGGTCTATGTTACTTTTGGGCTCTCTCTTTGCTTACAGGATCCCTTTTAATATTTCTTGCAGGGCTGGTTTAGTGATCACAAATTCTTTTAGTTTCTGTTTGTCCTGGAAGCTTTTTATCTCTCCCTTTTATTTTGAATGACATCCTTGCTGAATAAAGTATTCTTGGCTACATATTTTTCTCATTTAGCACCCTGATTATATCGTGCCAGTCCTTTCTGGCCGGCCAACCTTCTGTGGATAGGTCTGCTGCCAGTCTAATATTTCTACCCTTGTGGGTTATGGACCTCTTGTCCTGAGCTGCTTTCAGGATTTTCTCTTTATCTCTGAGATTTGCAAGTTTCACTATTATATGTCAAGGTGTTGACCTATTTTTATTGATTCTGAGGGGGGTTCTCTGTGCCTCCTGGACTTGAATGCCTGCTCCCTTCCCCAGATTAGGAAAGTTCTCTGCTATAAATTGCTCCAGTATACTTTCTGCCTCCCCTTCTTCTGGCATCCCAATTATTCTAATATTGTTTTGCTTTATACTATCACTTATCTCTTAAATTCTCTTGTGATCCAGTAGTTGTTTCTCTCTCTTTTTCTCAGCTTCTTTATTCTCCATCATTTTCTCTTCTATATCGCTAATTCTCTCTTCTGTCTCTATTATCCTAGCAGTTAGAGCCTCCATTTTTGATTGCAAACCATTAATAGCCTTTTTGATTTTGACTTGATTAGATTTTAGTTCTTTTATTTCTCAGAAAGGGATGCTGTAGTGTCTTCTATGCTTTCTTTCAAACCCGGGTCGTATCTTTATAATCATTATTCTGAACTCTAGTTCTGACATCTTATTTATATCCATACTGATTGGGTCCCTGGCAGTAAATACAGTCTCTTGTTCTCTTTTTTGAGGTACCATTTTCCATCTTGTCATTCTGTCCAGAGAAGAATAGATGAATGAGAGAACAAAATACTAAAATGGCAACAACAATCCCAGAGAAATATACACTAAACAAATCAGAAGAGACCTGAAACAAAACAAAACAAAAATTAAAAAAAGAAAGAATATAATCAGACAGGTGAACAGAACAATATACTGGATCCTGTGTGTATTTTGGTCTGTTAGAAAACTAGATCCCAAAATTGGAAAGAAAGAAAAACTTATATATGTACAAAAATAAAATTAAATACAATGAACGGATAGCATGTAACTGTAAATATGAAAATTAAAAGACACACAAAAAGAGAAAGAATATAAACAGATGAACAGAACAGAGCAATACACTATATCATGAGTGTATTTTGGTCAGTTTGTTAGAAGAAAATACATCCTAAAATTGTAAGGAAAATAAACATATATGTACAAAAATAAAATTAAATACATTGAAAGGATAAAATGTAACTGTAAAGAAAATTAAAAAAAGATTTTAACAAAAAAAAAAAGAAAGAAAAAATAAGAATGTGATCAGACAGGTGAAGAACAGAGCCATACACTAGATTCTGGGTGTATTTTGGTCTCTTTGTTAGAAGAAACTGTGTCCCAAAAGTGGAAAGAAAGAAAAGCTTATATATATACAAAAATAAAATTACATACAATGAAAGGATAGAGTGTAACTGTAAAAATGAAAAGAGTTAAAAAAAAGAGTTGATAAAATAAGAAATTAGTTGAAAAACGAAAGAAATTAAAATTGAAAGACTAAGGAATTGTGGGGAAAAAAACATGAATTCATTGCAGCCAGCTTCCCCTCTCCAATGCCTGGGAACTCTGCTACACTCAGGCACCCCTGGTCTTCCTGTGACCCTGGGGATCCTGAGACCACACGGCCCCACCTAGGAATCTACCCTGCTTCACCACCTGAGCGCCTTTCAGTCAGGGACATCCCTCACTGGAGCAGAATTCTAAAAGTTCTGATTTTGTGCTCTGCTGCTTATCACTTTGTGGTGCTGTCTTATGGAGGCTCCCTCCCCCTGCAGTTTATCTTCCCATATATCACCTTGGATTCACTTATCTGACCTCCTACCTTGCAGAAAGTGGTCACTTTTCTATTTGTAGAGTTGCAGCTATTCTTTTCTTAGATCTCCAGTTGAGTTCCCAGGTGTTCAGAATGATTTGATAGCTGTCTAGCTGAATTCCTGAGACCAGATGAAACTAAGGTGTTGTACTCCTCCACCATCTTGGACTATCTCACCTTGCACATTTCTTTATACAATTCTTTTTTGATGAATTTCTCCCCTCCACTTGTTTCTGTTCCATCTTTATGTAACTTCTATTATTCAGATTTTAGATCTGATAGAATAATCCTCTAAGTCTCTTTTCTCAATTATTTTCTAATCCTTTGTCTCATTTTAATTTTTTTTTTTTTTTAGAGATTTCATTTACTGTCTTCTAGATATTTAATTGAATTTTTTTCTGACTCTAAAGTTTTAATTTCCAAGTGCTCTTTCTTATTTTGGGTCATTTCTTTTCACAATTTTTTTTTTTTGTGTGGATGCAATAATTTTTTTAATCTTTCTGATAATATTAATAATATATTTTTCTCTTAAAAAATTCTACCTTATTCCTCCAGGTTTCTGTCTTCCTGTCTGTTTCAATCTCTCTCTCTTTCAGTGTGGAGACTTTTCTCAAATGTTTAGTGATCTGTTGCTGTCTGTTTATATTTAAGAGTGTAGCAGTAAGGAACTGATTAGAAATGGCATGTGAGTAGGTGGGGCTGAGTGATTGAGTGGTGCTTTAAGCTTTTCATGAAAGTATCCTTCAAAGTTAGTATCTGTAAGTCTTTGCATTGATTGGTTTCTCTAGAGAAAGATCCTCCAATCTGGTGTTTGGGAAATACTAACCTGGCTGTAAGTGTTCTGAAAAATGGATAGGGGAAGATGACTCTGGAGGGTGGGGATGGGATCACATCTCTGCCTTCTCTTGCATTTGACTTCTCTAAGTCTACAGCCTTTTTGGTTCAAATTTTCCAGAGAAGTAACTTTTACTATCCTGCCTAGGGTAGAGTTGTGTTGGCAGTGGGAATGGTGTGTTTGCCTGGTTAAGTAAGATGGTGGAGCGGAGATTATATAGACTCAACCAGTATTGTATTTAGCCTGTTTGTTACTTCTACCTTCTGATACTTCTAAAGTATGAAATATCTCCAAGTCGTTAATAACTCAAGAGTTCTACAGATGAAGTCACTTAGCTTTCATCAACAGCCTTCTCAGCAGACTTTAGATTGAAGCTTCTCCTTCCCTTTTAGGTAAATTACCATTCTCCCTATGCTTTCCATGTGCAATATATTTCTTAAAATCTCTCATCTACTGTTGAATCTCCTGCTGTTCTTCTTTTCTTTGTGGTATTTGCCCTTTTTATTCCTTTGCTGTCTTTTTTGGTGGTATCTCAGAAGGCAGGGAAGAGTACTATGTGGTCATTCCATCTGTTTAATTAGACTTTGACTCTTCAAAAGCTCTGAATTGTCCCTCTCTCACTATTAGTTATTGGAACAAAAGTTAGTGCCATTTTTAGGTTTTAAGCTCTTCCTCAGTGGTCTCACCCAGAAAGTTCTCTATCTTGTTTTTAAATTCTTCCCTCAATGTTTGGTAGTATATATACAGCACAATCTTAAGCTCTTTCAATATGGGGATACACTTTCCAGTTATGCAAGATACATTTATTAAGAGCTCCCTAACTGGTGTGCTGGGGCATACTGGTATACCACAAATAAGTAAGACATTGATCCTCTCAGTCTTTGGGAAGCCAGGCTGGTTCTGGGCCTGTGACCTCATGCATTCCATTTATTTGAGTATACCATGCCGAGAATATCATTTTCTATATGAGGTATGGCATGGAAAAAGTTGGTAGCATTGCTATAAAGCAGTATGGCTGATATTTCCATTTTAAGATTTGACATTTTAGAATGTCCAATCTAGTTTTATAGGATATGGGATTTATTCTTTGGTTAAAGCATTAATAGAAGTGAAAAAACTCAGTATTAATAGAAAATAGTATATATATTTTTAAAGATTTTATTTATTTATTTGACAGAGAGAGAGAGAGAGAGATAGCAAGGGCAGAAACACAAGCAGGGGGAGTGGGAGAGGGAGAAGCAGGCTTCCCGCCAAGCAGGGAGCCCGATGCGGGGCTCAATCCCAGGACCCCGGGATCATGACCTGAGCTGAAGGCAGATGCTTAATGACTGAGCCACCCAGGTGCCCCATGGAAAATAGCATATTTTTCAATGGATTTTTTTGAGAGTGGGTAACTAGATGCATTTAGTATTGATTTACTCTATAATCTTTTATTTACTAGTATTGGAAATTCACCCCAGGTAAAGGACTTATTTTAAGGAATTAGGCCATGTCTTATATCCAAAATCAGGAAGTATTTCCAAACTGTGAGGACTGGATCCAGGAACTGAAAAGGGGGAGACAGATTGACTTTGGTTCTTCCAGACCACAGTCTCCTCCCTCTGCTCTTCTTTGTGTGTCTATTCTAACTTTTCTTTCATAGTCCTAGTAAGTGCCCAACAGAGACTGACAAACATCTTTCAGTCTCAAATTCAGACTTGCAGGAGACATTGATTGGCCTAGCTTAAATGAGTTTTCAAACACGGCAGTAGTTTCTCTGGAGAAAATAGTCAACCCAAAGTCCAATTAATATGATCATAGCTTGGGTAGTTTACCCCTTTCCATGGAAAAAGAGAGGTTTTTATAGAGGACATAGAGATTGGGCAGATGCTCCAAACATTTTAAACCAAACATTTTAAAGCCACTTTAAACATGGAAGCAATTATCTTTTGCTTCATGAAACAGAACATTTTATTA